TGGCACAGTCTAGGGCACATATATACACAGGGTCTTGAAAGATGTTAGATATTCAGGAAACTGGCATTTGAGAGTAGTAGTAGTCAGGAAAAAAAAAATCACAGAGACCCTGCCATCTGGATCTTAGTTTTAAAAAAAAAAGTAAAAAAAACTAAAATAGTTGTCATTTATTGAGTTACTGTTTTATTGTTAATGTTTTATTGTCAACCATTGCAGTTTTCTTTGCAGGAATGCCATTCAGCTGCAGCATCTGTTTATTCTGACAGCAACAGGGTCTTGCTCTCAGAATATATGTAAGCGTGTGCAGCGCTGTTGGATAAGATTTTTCATCTGCAGTTAAAAAAGAACATACAGTTAGATCCATATATATTTGGACTCAGGCACAATTTTAGTTTTTTCAGGTACAGTCAGGTCCAAAAATATTGGGACATCGACACAATTCTAACATTTTTGGCTCTATACACCAACACAATGGATTTGAAATGAAACAAACAAGATGTGCTTTAACTGCAGACTGTCAGCTTTAATTTGAGGGTATTTACATCCAAATCAGGTGAATGGTGTAGGAAAATTACAACAGTTTGCATATGTGCCTCCCACTTGCTAAGGGACCAAAAGTAATGGGACAGAATAATAATCATAAATCAAACTTTCACTTTTTAATACTTGGTTGCAAATCCTTTGCAATCAATTACAGCCTGAAGTCTGGAATGCATAGACATCACCAGACGCTGGGTTTCATCCCTGGTGATGCTCTGCCAGGCCTCTACTGCAACTGTCTTCAGTTCCTGCTTGTTCTTGGGGCATTTTCCCTTCAGTTTTGTCTTCAGCAAGTGAAATGCATGCTCAATCGGATTCAGGTCAGATGATTGACTTGGCCATTGCATAACATTCCACTTCTTTCCCTTAAAAAACTCTTTGGTTGCTTTTGCAGTATGCTTTGGGTCGTTGTCCATCTGCACTGTGAAGCGGCGTCCAATGAGTTCTGAAGCATTTGGCTGAATATGAGCAGATAATATTGCCCGAAACACTTCAGAATTCATCCTGCTGCTTTTGTCAGCAGTCACATCATCAATAAATACAAGAGAACCAGTTCCATTGGCAGCCATACATGCCCACGCCATGACACTACCACCACCATGCTTCACTGATGAGGTGGTATGCTTGGGATCATGAGCAGTTCCTTTCCTTCTCCATACTCTTCTCTTCCCATCACTCTGGTACAAGTTGATCTCGGTCTCATCTGTCCATAGGATGTTGTTCCAGAACTGTGAAGGCTTTTTTAGATGTCGTTTGGCAAACTTTAATCTGGTCTTCCTGTTTTTGAGGCTCACCAATGGTTTACATCTTGTGGTGAACCCTCTGTATTCACTCTGGTGAAGTCTTCTCTTGATTGTTGACTTTGACACACATACACCTACCTCCTGGAGAGTGTTCTTGATCTGGCCAACTGTTGTGAAGGGAGTTTTCTTCACCAGGGAAAGAATTCTTTGGTCATCCACCACAGTTGTTTTCCGTGGTCTTCCGGGTCTTTTGGTGTTGCTGAGCTCACCGGTGCGTTCCTTCTTTTTAAGAATGTTCCAAACAGTTGTTTTGGCCACGCCTAATGTTTTTGTTATCTCTCTGATGGGTTTGTTTTATTTTTTCAGCTTAATGATGGCTTGCTTCACTGATAGTGAAAGCTCTTTGGATCTCATCTTGAGAGTTGACAGCAACAGATTCCAAATGCAAGTAGCACACCTGAAATGAACTCTGGACCTTTTATCTGCTCATTGTAATTGGGATAATGAGGGAATAACACACACCTGGCCATGGAACAGCGGAGAAGCCAGTTGTCCCATTACTTTTGGTCCCTTAACAAGTGGGAGGCACATATGCAAACTGTTGTAATTCCTACACCGTTCACCTGATTTGGATGTAAATACCCTCAAATTAAAGCTGACAGTCTGCAGTTAAAGCACATCTTGTTTGTTTCATTTCAAATCTATTGTGGTGGTGTATAGAGCCAAAAATGTTAGAATTGTGTCGATGTCCCAATATTTATGGACCTGACTGTATTTACCAAAAGCTATAGTTATATAATGGATATGGGCTGAAACAGAAATTACAGCTTTTTTTTTTTTTTTTTATAAATGTTTATTAATTGATCAATCCAAATACAAATCACATTTCTATTAAAAAGACATTCAAACAATATCTTCCTATTTGCATATATTATTTTAAATCCCTCCCCTCCACCCTCCCTCCCCTCCTCTCCTCAGCCTCCCACCCTCTTCCCATCCCACCTCCCTCTCCCACTCTGCGTTTTCTCTCCTCTCCTCTACATCCTACATTTCTATTATTTCTAAATCCATTTCCATTTCAGGGGGTATTATATCTTCTTATATTTCACTTTTCCTCTATACTCTTCCCATTTTTTTCCACTTTGTATTATACATCTCCATCTTATCTATATGCATGTAGTACAGTCTCTGTCTCACAGATCTGATTCATTCTGCCCATCCAATGCTCCTCTGTTGGCACCTCTTTTTTTTTTCCCCAAAACCTAGGTATCAAACTCTTCACTGCATTCAAAATAATGCCATATCCCCAAGACCTTATATAATTTCACTGAAAGCATTGTGATATGGAGAAGACATAACTCTGGGTCTAGTCCAATATTAATTTTAGTGATTTTCCTTACTAAATAAACTATTTTCTGCCAGAACAACTGTATTCTTGGACATTCCCACCATATGTGATTCCACGTGCTCTCCTCTCCACAACCTCTCCAACACATCCGTGAAATCTCCCCATTCAATTTATGCTCTATATTAGGTGTAATATGCCATCTCACAAAACACTTGTAATTTATTTCCACCTCTCGCATTCTAATGTTTTCGTGAATTAATCTAAACATTTTCCTTTGCTCCTCCTCATCTATTTCCCTTCCCATATCTCTTTCCCATTTCTCTGTGTATCAATTTTGTGTCAGTGTCTAATTCAGTTAGTATTTTATATATTTTTGCAATTCCGCGTCTCTTATGTCCCTGTGCTTCCAACAATCTCTCCAATGGATTCCACGCTTTTCTAGTTCTCATAGGCTTTGGGAGGCTTTCAAAGAAATGTTTTAGTTGGTAGTATCGTAATCTATTCAACCTATTGAAAACTTCTCCCTTTTTTTCCTCCAACTCTCCATATGATCCGAATTCCTCCCCCACCATTATATCTCTCAATTGCGCCTCTTGTTTTATAATCCATTTCCCTGCAATGTTTTCCCTGCCCCGGGGTAAAATATTCTGTGTTCCTTAGTGGCATCAACTGTGAATTAAAAACCCATCCCTTTTGTCTGTGTAACATTTCCCACACTCTTAAAACGTTAAAAGTATACGTACTTGTGCTATCCTCTAATCCCCTATATTGTGCAGGCACCCATATAATCTTACTTAAATTTATTCCACTTAGTGTATTTTCAATTTTGACCCAACTTTTCTCTGGATTATGAGTCCAATCAAAAATTCTCTCAATTATCACCGCTTTATAATATCTCTTAAAGTCTGGTACACCCAATCCACCTCTTTCCTTACTTCTAGTCAACATTTCATAGCCTATTCTAGGCTTTTTATTCCTCCATATATACCTTATCATTTTTTTAAGTTCTTTAAAATATGCCTCTGGAAGTTTGATTGGAATCATTTGAAATTTATATAATACTTAGGGCTAGAGATGAGCGAATTATTCAAAAATTCGGTTCGGCTGATTCGCCGAATTCGCCGAATAAATTCGCTTCGAGCCGAATATATTCGCTGCGAATTTAACTTATAAAAAGGGTGTTTCTAGGCTTCAGAGAGCCTTTATATTAGTGCAGAACACTGTACCTTTAATTTAAATGCCCATGGAGTCTGCTGGGGAAGAGAAATAATACTGTCAGTCAGTATGACATGCAGATGAGTGCCGTCGATCTTAGAATCACCGCACACTTCACTCATTTGGGCAGTCACGGGGCCAAAACCAGAGTGTGGAGCCACAGTGTGGCGGTGGAGGCAGCAGCAATGGGAGGCCATACAGCACCCTATGACAAAATGGAACCCACCAGCAGTGTGAGGAGACCTGAAATTGGCACATGGCAGAGTGTGGCGATGGAGACAGCAGCAATGGGAGGCCGTACAGGGACCCATGACACACTCTGGACCTGGCAGCAGCATGAGGAGGCGGTACAGGGGCCCATGACAGATTACGGGCCTGGCAGCAGCATGAGGAGTCGGTACGGGGGCCCATGGCAGATTACGGGCCTGGCAGCAGCATGAGGAGGCGGTACAGGGGCCCATGGCAGAGTGGCGGAGCGTAAGCAGCTAAAATTGAAGGCCATACAGAGGCCTATGTTAAAAAGTCCCCCCAGCAGCAGCGTGGGGAGACGACTATCAAGAGTCCAATGGCAGAGTGGCGGAGCAGAAGCAGCTTCAATTGAAGGCCATACACAGGCCTAGGTTTAAAAGTCCCTCACAGTTAATTCCAATAACAAACTCTACTCCTCCGTGCAATCTACTTACGAGACCCTGGGCAGGTCTGGGTCCAATTTGTGGTAGATACTGGTTTTGTTCAGCCATGCTTGAGCGAGTAATAACAGGTCTGTGCTGCCCTTTGGTGTCTGGCTTAATGCGCACAACACTGAACGTCCCAGCGTTTGTCAACGATTTGCCGTTAAGTGATGCAAACCCGCTGAACCACGTTCATGAGGAGCCGGTACAGGGGGCCATGAATCAGTATGGACCTGGCAGCAGCGTGAGCAGACGACAGAGGCGCAGGGTGGCGGTGTAGGCAGCATTATTCTGAAGCCATACACAGGCCTAGGTTAAAAAGCGGAAGCCGTCAGCAGCGTGAGCAGACGACAGAGACACATGGCGCAGGGTGGCGGTGGATGCAGCAGTATTCGGAAGCCAAACACAGGCCTCGGTTAAAAAGCGGAAGCCGTCAGCAGCGTGAGCAGACGACAGAGGCACATGGCGCAGGGTGGCGGTGGAGGCAGCAGCAATGGAAGGCCATACAGCACCCTATCACAAAATGGAACTTACCAACAGTGTAAGGAGACCTGAAAGTGGCACATGGCAGAGTCTGGCGATGAAGTCAGCAGCAATGGGAGGCCGTACAGGGACCCATGACACACACTCTGGACCTGGCAGCAGCAAGAGGAGGCGGTACAGGGGCCCATGGCAGAGTGGCGAAGCGTAAGCAGCTTAAATTGAAGGCCATACAGAGGCCTATGTTAAAAAGTCCCCCCAGCAGCAGTGTGGGGAGACGACTATCAAGAGTCCAATGGCAGAGTGGCGGAGCAGAAGCAGCTTCAATTGAAGGCCATACACAGGCCTAGGTTAAAAAGTCCCCCCAGCAGCAGCGCAGCGTGGGAGACGACTATCAAGAGTCCAATGGCAGAGTGGCGGAGCGGAAGCAGCTTCAATTGAAGGCCATACACAGGCCTAGGTTAAAAAGTCCCCCCAGCAGCAGTGTGGGGAGACGACTATCAAGAGTCCAATGGCTGAGTGGCGATCCGGGAAGTCAGCGCTGTGATTGCAGATGCAATGCAGAGATTCTATGAGGTGATGCCGTGGGTGCGAAGAAGATCATATACCGTTGTACTTCCATCCATAAGACGGAACAACCTGCGAACCGGGAGCTTTATTGCCCTGACCCGCTGAGCAGCTTCTGGGATACCCAAGAGTTTGGCTTCTGTGGGTAATATGGTTGAAAACTGAAACTTAAAGGCATGTTGACGGAAGGGCACCAGTGTCAGTGCTCCGGAGGGAATATAGCTTCAAAGCTGACACTTAAAGGTATATCGACGGTCAGAGACCACAGGAAGTGGAGCTTGCGTCTTAAATCGACTGAATGTGGCAGACGTGAAACGTCTACGGGCCGTATATGAAACGGGTTGTTCCTCTTTCTGGAATAAGTGTTGGAAATGGCCACTCTTTTTGGTGTGGCGTTTTGTCTATTTAATTCCGATAACGGACTCTACTCCTCCGTGCAATCTAGTTACGAGACCCTGGGCAGGTCTGGGTCCAATTTGTGGTAGAGACTGGTTTTGTTCAGCCATGCTTGAGCGAGTAATAACAGGTCTGTGCTGCCCTTTGGTGTCTGGCTTAATGCGCACAACACTGAACGCCCCAGCATTTGTCAACGATTTGCCGTTAAGTGATGCAAACCCACTGAACCACGTTCATGAGGAGCCGGTACAGGGGGCCATGAATCAGTATGGACCTGGCAGCAGTGTGAGGAGACCCGAAAGTGGCACATGGCGCAGGGTGGCGGTGGAGGCAGCAGTATTCGGAAAGACATACACAGGACTAGTTTAAAAAGCGGAAGCCATCAGCAGCGTGAGCAGACGACAGAGGCACATGGTGCAGGGTGGCGGTGGAGGCAGCAGTATTCGGAAGCCATACACAGGCCTAGGTTAAAAAGCGGAAGCCGTCAGCAGCGTGAGCAGACGACAGAGGCACATGGCGCAGGGTGGCGGTGGAGGCAGCAGTATTCGGAAGCCATACACAGGCCTAGGTTTAAAACTGGAACCCAGCAGTGTGAGCAGACGACAAAGACGCACATGGCAGAGGATGGATCTGGCAGCAGTATGAGAAGGCGGTACAGGGGCCCGTGGCACAGTGTGGTGATGGGGGCTACAGCAACTGGATGCCAGAAAGTGGCCGATAGGGCTATATACTGCATGGAATTATAAAGTTGTAAAGACAGCGGCCTATAAGGCTATACACACTATAACAATCATGACTTGATTGACCATTGGCCTATAAGGCTATACACAGCATGAATATCATGACTTATTCTGAGAGTGGTTTGGAAGGCTATATACAAAAAGTAATTCATGAGCTGTCCGGACAGCGGACAATAAGTACATATATACAAATCAATTCATCAGCTGTCCAGCCAGCGGCCTCAAAGGCGACACATATAGAAAGCAATTCATGAGCTGTTCAGACAGCGGCCCCTAAGGCGACAGATATACAAAGCAATTCCCGAGGTGTTCAGTGAGCGGCTTGAACGGCTAGGTTATTACTAAATATATCTTTCTGGCCAAACATCGGCCTATAAATAGATGTCTACACAGTGACAAAAAAGTAGGTCGCCTTACAGCGGCGTATCCTACAAATTGACATTATAAGAAATGGTTTAGACCAAAAAAAAAAAAAAAAAAAAAACTTTGATGCGATGCTATACCTTAGTAGATTGTGGAAAGTCGACAAGTCAAGCGTAACTGTGTACATTACAGAAAATCTTAACAAGACAACCAAACATGTGGCCAAACCGTGACCGATACAACAAGTTAACAATGTAAGAAACAGGAGGGGGCCAAACCGTGGCCAATAAATAAACAGTCCACCTCATTGATGAGATGGACAACACGTGTCAAATATTTAAAACAATTGCTATTCCATCGGTCTGGAACTGGTCGACTATAAATAATTAAAAAGTTTAAATTCATGTGACAGTCGTCCAGCGACGTATAAATAATTTAAAAACACCAATTCATGAGGGGCCCGACCAGCAGAGTATAAGTCATTAAAAAGGTTCAATTCATGTGACGGTCGGTCGTCCAGCGACGTATAAATAATTTAAAAACCCCAATTCATGAGGGGCCCGACCTGCAGAGTAGAAGTCATTAAAAATGTGCAAAACATGAGTCGGCCGACCAGCAGCCTCTCAATAAAATATATATACAAATGTACGGATCAGGTGGAGGTCTTCCATTTGTCCCTAATAACATGTTTGGGGCATGATTCATGGCGGATTTAGTCAGTTGTGTCAGGAACTGGTGGTTTGAAATCCAGACTAATCCACGCCTGATTCATTTTCACAAACGTGAGTCTCTCCACACTTTGGGTGGACAGTCGTGTCCTCCGCGGAGTTACAATACCTCCTGCCGCACTAAACACGCGCTCTGATGCCACGCGCTACTGGCCGGGCATGACAGCCTTTCAAGGGCAAATTCAGCTAGTTGGGGCCAAAGGTCAAGTTTCGTTGCCCAGTAGTCAAGGGGATTGTCTACCTCGGTTGGCAGGGTGCTGTCCAAGTAGGCCCAAGCCTGTTGTTTGAGGTCCTACTCCAGGTCCACCTGATGCTGCTGCTGCTGCTGCTGCGGCTGGTTAGTAGTTTCCTCACTGCGCTTGTGAAGAAAGCTACTCATCATCGACTGCAGACTGAGGCAGCCGCTGCTGGTGGAGCTGCCACTGCTCCTACCACCCCACCCCTCCCCTGCTGCCATGGCAGCGGAACGCGAGCGCACAGGGCCACAGTGTCTGAGGATGGACGTTGGCGCAGACAGGCAGAGACCAACTGACTACATAGGTGGTTTTTATAGTACGTTATTTTGGCCTCCCTCTCAGCAGGTGTGAAAAAGGCCACCATTTTTGAACGGTAGCGCGAGGGTCCAACAAGGTGGACGGACAGCCAAAAGTCATCCCTCTGTCTGATGGTTATTATTCGGCTGTCGCTACGCAAGCAACCGAGCATGCTATGGGCCATTTGTGCCAAGGAATGCGAGGGACTCCCTGCCTCCATCTCCACAGCATACTGCCACGGTGCGTCTGGGTCCTCTGTCTCCTCCTCCTCCTCTACCAGATGCTCCTGCTCCTCCACTCCTGTCCGCTGAGTGGAAAAACCACCCATTTCACTCAATAATTCCTGAGCACCAATGTCCTCCTCTACCTCCTCCTCTTCTTCCTGTCCTGCCCCCACAGGGGTCATGTGGCGTTGAGATCTGTGCGCCACGTCTACCGCACCCTGACCAGCCATTGTTAACAGCATTTGTTCCAGGACGTGCAACAGAGGAATGACGTCGTTCATCCCATAGTCCTGCCGACTCACGAATAGCGTGGCCTCCTCAAAGGGCCTGAGCAAGCGGCAGGTGTCACGCATCAGCTGCCAATGGCTGACATCTAAGTTACACAGGGGAGTACCTTTATCCGCTTGTAACATCATGAAATCGGTGATGGCCTTTCGCTGTTTGTAAAGGCGGTCTAACATATGTAGGGTTGAATTCCACCTTGTTGCAACGTCGCAGATCAGGCGATGCTGTGGAATTCCGTTCTGCCGCGCTGCAGCTCAAGGAGGGTGTGCTTTGCGGTGTAGGAATGGCTGAAATGCATGCAAAGTTTACGTGACATTTTAAGGATGTCTTGCAGTGGGATGGTGGATTTTAGGAACCGCTTGACAACCAGATTGAACACGTGAGCCATGCATGGCGCATGGCACAACCTTCCTTGACGCAGAGCAGACACCATGTTCTTTCCGTTGTCGGTCAACATGGTTCCGATTTTCAGTTTGCGCGGAGACAGCCATCTGTCGATTTCTCTGTTCATTACACTGAGAAGTTCCTCCCCTGTGTGACTACGTTCGCCAAGGCATACCAGGTGCAGCACAGCGTGACACCGTTGCGCCCTGCACATGTGATATGCCGGTCGGGTAATGGGACTTGGCACGGGGGTGGGCGGCTGAGGACACGGCGGAAGAAGAGGTGGTAGAGAGGCGGACATCTTTGCTGGACCAAGGACGTGCAAACGTGGAGGCAAAAGCGGCGTGACCTGTCCAAGTTGCTGTTGCGGCTGTGCCGGCACCACGTTCACCCAGTGGGCCGTAAATGACATGTACTGTCCCTGACCGTAGTTACAGCTCCACACGTCGGCGCTGCCGTGCACTTTGGCAGAGACCGACATGCTCAAAGACTGGCCCACCATCTCTTCTACATGTGAATGCAGGGCTGGCACTGCCTTTTTGGCGAAGAAATGCCGGCTTGGCACTCTCCACCGCGGCTCGGCACAAGCCATCATTTCTCGGAAAGGTGCTGAGTTCACCACTTGGAAAGGGAGGGACTGCAGCACCAGCAACTTGGACAGAAGGACGTTCAGCTTCTGCACCGTCGGGTGCGTGCTCACAAACTGTTGTCTCTTGGAAACGGATTCCAAGAAAGACTGCTGACGGAATCCGTGAAGAGGAGTAGTAGCAGGAGAAGGAGCATCTGAACGAGCGGAAGATGCCAACGAGCGACAACTCCCCTCAGCAGAGGTGTTGGAGCCTTGACTGGCTGATAGAGGGCGATTGACGTCGGGTGACGGAGCAAGTAACGGAGCGGGTGATGGAGCGGGGGCTGGGGCAGGCAGAACCGCCGTATCTTTATCACGGTTTTCCCAGGCCACCGAATGGCGACGCTGCATATGCTGACGCAACGCTGTAGTCCCAACATGGGCCCCCTGACCATGCTTGACTTTCTGGCCACATAGTCGACATACGGCTACGTTTACTTCCTCGGGCGGCTTGACGAAAAATTGCCACACCG